GATTTGGACTAACAATAAATATCGAACCAATGAAAGAAAAAAACTCCTCTCCTTTCCAAATTTAAAGTAGGATTTGTTATTTGCATTTCTTTTTTAACTGAATATTGAAGAGAAACTATATTTTAGCTGCGAAACCTGCAAAAGTCTCTTTTCTTTTTATTATAATTCATTTTCAAATAAAAGTATTTTTATAATTTAATTGACAACCAGATAAAAAATTTAAAAAAAAATTATCTGCTTACATTATCTTCTTAAATCGTCTGCAAAATCTCTCAATATTCCAAATATCTAAGCCAAAGATCAATTGCTATAATTAATTTTTCAGTAAATTGAGTTTATTCATAGATGGATGCAGATGGATGGGATTTTTTACTTTTCCCATGGTCTGTTTTCAAGATGGAGTGATTTTGAGTTTATTTATTATTACATAATTTTAATTGCAAGCTTTCATTTGTAGACCGGAGATTGAAAATTTCTCAATGAGATCTCGGCTTCCTCTTTTGCCTACTGTATAATTACCTGGCTGCAAAAGAGGTCGCCGTGTTCTGATCAATTCGCCTGGAATATTTACAATGGTTTTTCTTTATCTTGAAATACTTTAAAATTTAACCACCTTGCGATCATTTTTATTCGCAAGTAATTGAGTTTCGCGCTGTTTAGTGGTTTATCACCTGCTGGGGAATAAATAAAAAACCCTCACTTTAGAAAGAACGATCCTCCCTCCTTCTTGTGTATTAGGCAGTGCTTTATTATTTCACACACGCACAATATCATAGGAGGGCCCCATGCGCGTTTTTTCCACAGCGCAGACAAACAGGTTGCTTGCACATGTGCAGCTGCCCCCGAAGAAACTCAACACCCTCTTCCACCCTGTTGGCGTAAAAATGATCCTTTCACGCAGTGGATGGGTCAGGTCCCCTACCAGGCCCGCATTCCAATGCATACAAATAGGAGAGAGAGGAAAAGGCGCGCAGTATATTTTTCAGCGTCGGCTTTAAAAAATACAAAAAAAGGAGATGAGCGTGCTTGAAATCCTATGCGAGGGAGGAAAATCGTGAAATGGATATCAGTCAAGGGCAGTGGTTCTTTTGCCTCCCCGAGAGCGCTGCCTCCCCGAGAGCGCCTAACTGCATGTAATGATTGCCTTTTCTGCGGCGGGGCGCAATTTGTATGCCCTGACAACCTAATATTAAATGTGAAACGCCAATTAATTCATTTCATACGCCGTTTTGAGCAGACAAACACTGAATCACCAATTTAAAAGTTTATTTGTTTTCCGTTTTACATTAAATGGGTCAGAATAATTTCATTTTATTAGACGAATACTTATTCAAAATGTTAATTATGATTGGAAATTCCCAATTTTTATTTAAAGCTTTTAAGGAGAAGTAATTTATTTATTTTCAAATCAAAGTAAATTTTGGAAGATTAATATTACTTCGCGAGCGCAGGGCGAGCGCAGGCCGAGCGCAGGGCGAGCGCAGGGCGAGCGCAGGGCGAGCGCAGGGCGAGCGCAGGGCGAGCGCAGGCCGAGCGCAGGCCGAGCGCAGGCCGAGCGCAGGCCGAGCGCAGGCCGAGCGCAGGCCAAGCGCAATTGACCCCTAATTGTTACGAACTTATGTGTTGCCGCGATCATCACAGTTTTCACGTATGTTATTGGGGTCAATAAGAGGAGTCTCTGACTAAATTTTGAATTAAAAATTTTTGAGTACTTTTTGAAAAATCCGGGTTTTTTAAAAACACAAAATTGCGTTTATCTTTGTTTCTATTGAGTTTATAGCAATGCGGTTTTCACTGTAATGGGTAACTTTTTATTCCGAACAACTTTTCTGTGGATCAAAATGTTCTAGGTGAAAGGTCAAGGTCACTAAAATGCATTTTAATTTTTTAAAGGAATTTTTCTCAAAGAAGCATACCTTGTTTTTTTTCCGTGGTATAGGAAAAAATGTAGCCCATCAAATTTTATATCTGGTCAGTAAAAATCTCGATGGCCTCTTTTTTAGTTTTAAAGATATTTTTATTATAATTTAAAAAGATGCGTTCTCGGCAAAACGCGTTATTTTGAATTTTAACTGTTTTGATAAAAATAATGTGATTTTTTTGTGTGGCCATTTTTCTCAAAGAAGCATACCTCGGATTTTTTTGTGGTATAGGAAAAAATGTAGCCCATCAAATTCTACATCTGGTCTGAGAAATTCAGAATGGCCTTATTTTTAGTTTTAAAGATATGTAGAATTTGATGGGCTACATTTTTTCCTATACCACAAAAAAATCCGAGGTATGCTTCTTTGAGAAAAATGGCCACACAAAAAAATCACATTATTTTTATCAAAACAGTTAAAATTCAAAATAACGCGTTTTGCCGAGAACGCATCTTTTTAAATTATAATAAAAATATCTTTAAAACTAAAAAAGAGGCCATCGAGATTTTTACTGACCAGATATAAAATTTGATGGGCTACATTTTTTCCTATACCACGGAAAAAAAACAAGGTATGCTTCTCAATATACTTTTCTGATTTAGAACCATTATTTTGTCTCATCCCTTCTTCCAAAATTGATATTTTTTTTACCTATTTTCACAAGTTTCTGAAGTAAGTCGACATAATTTTCATCCCTCTCCGAATCGCAACTGTTTTGGGCTGAAAGGCTGCAAACCAGACGCCCAAATTAAGTGAAAAAACGTACTCAAGTGGCCCACTTAAGGGGTGCACGTGTTTTTTGTTGGCGCAGGCAAGGAAATTTATGAGAATTTCCAGATAAGAGGAATTCGTTTCGGTTGCAGTTAGGGGGTCTGCATGGTGAACTCGGTGGCATCAAAGCAGCGCGTCGAGGCCATAAAATGCACCTCGTGGGGGAGAGAAGAAGAAGGAAGTTTTTTTCCTCATAATAATCTCTGCGCCTGTTCAATAAAAAAAACTCTAATGGTGGATTCAGTTATATAGGGGGGTGCATCCAACAGTTGTCTGCAGGTTGCTTTACAATATTATTTATCCAAGGATTTCTCTCCTCTCCGCGCTCAGCCGGAGATTTATTAAAAAATTTGACGCATTTCCTCTTTCTGGTTGGTTTTTTTCCTTGCACGTGGAAATCGAGAGACAAAGAGAGCGATGGGTCGCTTGCCAAGCACTGTTGTTTAATTTAGAGCATTTAACTTGTTCGGTTAAAAGCGGCGGCGGCGCGCATCGGTGACTCACGCGCTTCGATTTTCCGCGTATGCAAATGAAAATAAACTTGAGCAGCCGAAATAGACTCGTGTCAGCGAGAGAATTGAGCGAGGTGTGCAGTTTGAAGGAAGCGCCGCCGGATTTTGGCAAGCGACTCGGGAATTCTTTTCTTTTAAAATAAATGCGCGTGACCTTTTCTCTCCCATCTCGCTTTTTGATTTTATTTTTGTGCGTGTCTCGAAATTAAGTTTTGTGTTTTGACAGGCTTTTTGCGTGTGTCAGCCCTCGGCTAAAAACGGACCGTCCAACAATTAACGCTGGTTAAAATTAGCGAGCGCCAAAATATTGCACAGCTCTGTTGCTAAATAGTTTTTTGTTCTATCTGTGGTTCCTCCTGCGACGCCACAACACCAGATTTTATTGGACCTTTATTTGCTTGTTAGAGTTTTTAATTTCGTAGGTTTCTTAATTTAAAAATTTTAATGCTTTTTAATTTAGGGCCAAAAAGCCAATAGAGTTTTCTAACTTTTTTTTTTGTAAAAATTTCATTGACAATTTGGGCAAATTTTACACGCAGTTTGAAGCCAAATATGAAAATGTTAATATCTTTTATAGTTATAGTGAAAAAAAAAATATATTGAATTTCTTTTTAAATGTGTTTACTTTATTTATAATAAAATTTTTATTTCTAATTAAATTTTAATAATTTTTAAAATCTAAAATTTTAATCCATTTTTAGTTTCTTATTTTGAAAACATTTTAACAAATAAGAAAGAAAACATTTATTCTAAATCTACACTAAAATTATTATTATTTAATCTTTTGATCAAATAGCCGACAAAATCACAGACTAAATAATTAAATTATATCAACTTGTTCGATTAAAATTGACCTGTATTTTTATTATTTGACACAATTATCAATGCAAATTAAATAGAACTGATTTGATTTAGGTCTTAATTTTTTAATCAAACATGCGTTTATATCCCAAAAATTTACCCCTGCTATTAAATTAGGAGTAAATCTAAAGGAAAATTTGAACGTTTTCTCAATTTGAATTGTTTAGTTTATAAGTGCTAAGCCATTCCAATATTGTTACTATAACGCTTATACAGCAATGGTGGTTAAAGTTTTGCCAAGAATTACATCAAAAAAATTGGTTTCTTTTGTTCAGAGGATTTGATTGGAGCATATGCCAAAATAATAGTCTTTGATCAAAATATATTTGAGGCAGAAATTATTATGGGTTTACCACGGCGGCCGAGTCTCTTTTGCTGTAATTCCCTTTTCCCTTTTTTTTTCACCAATTTAAAATTTTAGTATTGATCAAGAAGAATAATTAATCATTTAATATAAAATACGACTTTGATGGGAATAGAAAATCCCTGCAAAAAGTAAAAAGCTATAGAAGTTTTTTATTTCATAATGTAAGCACAGGATTTTTTCAAATCTCATAAAAATCACTCAATAAAATGTGATGGAATTTTTCAATATATTTTTTATTTGTCTTCATTCCGTTTATTTTCTTTGTGTTGACAGAGTGAGTAGTTTTTTTGTCTGTTCATCTTGGCTGAAAAGTTTTGTGAGATATTTGGATAGCGGCGCGCTGAGCATATAATATAAGTTTTGAGTAGAGAAAACGGATATCCGCCAGCGCACGCAGCGCGAGATGATGAGGAGCACAAAGAGAAGAGATAAGAAGCAGCAACACAGCCTCCGAAAGAGGGCTTCATCTGCTCGCTCGGCAAATTATCATGCGAGCGAGCGAGCAAGAGAAGAGAGACGGCAACTGCGCACTCTCCCAAATATTATGACGTAAACGTGGATTCTTTCTCGTGTCTGCGGAGGAGAGGCTCATAAATGTGCACCAAGTCTCGGTGCTCGTCGCGCTAAATTGTCTCAGCCAGTGACAAAAAGGCAAAAAAGTCCGAACGAAATCGGAGCGGTTCCGGTTTTGGTGTTCCGTCCGACTCTCTCCGGTCTATTTTCACCGCCATGGGACAGAATTAAATGCGACGTGCTGAACAGGTGAGCCCTTTTTCAAAGTTATTTATTCGGCTGTTGTGAAGGGTGCGCGCGGTCCAAATTAAAAATAACACCGAGTCTCTTCTTCATTTATTAAAAAAAAAAGAAGAAGCGACGCAACTTCTTCTTCTTTTTTTTTTTGTAAATTCATTGGCATCGTCAAAATAACATTGGCACTCTTTCGTGAATAAAGCGGGCTCGGGTTTATATTTATAAACCAGCAGCCAAGCACACTCGGAAGTTGCAGGAAAACACGTGACTTGTCGGCCGGGGTGTATATAAATCTAACTGTTGTTTAGAAATATATCTACTGAATTACGCTTTGTCTCGATGGTCCGTCTGTCTGCGTCTTCTCTATTTTATTCCCCTTTGATGCCGCTGACAAAGAGCAGAACCAAACGTTTTAGATCCCAAATTCTTTTCGCACCATTTGCTGTAAACCCCTGTAAAAAAATGCTGGTGATCAATCCAGGAAAGAAATCACGTGAAGACAATTAAAATAAAAAACGTTGGGTTGCTATAATTAGTTTTAACCCAAAACTTCATGGTTAAATTCAAAATAATACAGGAATTAAAAAATTAAATAAATTTGACAAAAATTATAATTCAATGTGTCAATTGAAAGGTCACAATTTAATTGCCCTTGTAAACCAGCATGTTTGAGGGAAAAAACAAATTATTTCGTCAATTATCCTCTCATTTGCAATTGAGCAAGAAAGTTTTTATTTTTTGTTTCAAATGATCGTTTAAAAAAAATTAATCAATTACTTAAAATCAGGCTGATCTTCAAAAGTAATTTTCATTGAAAGCTTTTGAATTTTCTAACAAAAAAGTCGTTCTGAAGAAAATTTCTTCAAGCTTCACCAAATCAGTGCAATACCCAAAATTTCGGCTAATTTAAATTTATTTGGAAATTTTCGACATTAATATTTGATGTGAAGGGAAACTTTCTGTGATAATCATTTAATATTTTTGCATTTTCATCTTTTAATTTAAATAAAAAGGTGAGGAATCTTCATTAAATTAATCATTTACTCTCCACAATCATATCTTTCATTTTAGAAAAACCGATGAATAATGCAAAAGTATGTCTCTTAGCATGTATATTTCGCCGCGTCGCGAAATCTCAGAGTCTGTGTGTCGTGGCCAGAAATGAAATATAACCCTTGGTGCAGGCGGAAAAAAAATTCCTCTTTGGCCTCCAACAATACACACACACACATAATCTGCTTGTGCAAAATGCGAGCTCGGCTTTATCGGTGGTTGCTATGGCGATGGAATGCGCACACAGCGCCATGGCGCCTTCTTTTCCTCGTCGCTTCCTTCCTGCTGTTTCAATGGGTGCCTCGGCCTGCTTCTGGCGGCGTTTCCGCATCCTGGTCTCGCCGCCGCCGACCGGCGAGTCCGGAAGCGATGCGCGGAGAACGGATCAAGCAAAGGCTTTATCATTTTGTGCAGTGCGTCTTCATCCTCCACCGAGCGAGCACCCTTTTTTGCACAACAAAAAAGACCTTTATGTGGATGGATGGCACTTTTTGCCACCGCAGCCCGAATAACTCTTCGTTTTACTACACATGAATCCAAAAGAAAGATGACACGCTGCAATATCCAATTCCACTCGCAAAATATTTCAAATTGTAGACCGTCTTTTTTTAATTCACTCCAAAGTTCATATTGCGCGAAATATTGCATGTATTCCAAATATATAATTTTGACAAAAAAATCCTTCGGTGGAAATTTTCAAGATTTTTATTTTATGTTGTTTAACTTTTTACCACTATTGAGTTGAAAAATTCATTAAAAACTTGAAGATGATATTAAGTTTTGAAAAAATAGACAATTTTTAATCTGCTCAAAAATTAGGGTGATAAAAAAAATTCCTTTTTTTTTCGCTTTATGAACTTTGGAATCAAAATTTCTGGCTTTAAACGATATTATTAGACTTTTTGACCGTTTCGAAGTTTTAACTTCAATATTTTGGGGAGAACGATTGATTCTCTTTCACCTTAGTCTATAGTGAGCGATTACCTGAAACCTTGCAATAAAAGAACTGAAAATGCACAATGAATGAAGCGCAAAATTCAAATTAATTGAAATTTTCTAACTTTGGAAATTTCAGCAGTTAAATTACACCTAATTATCTGTTTTAATCAGCAGCTAGGAAAGATGAAACCTTCTATTTTCTCAACAATTTAACTCCATATATATGCAAACAAACAAATAGTTTTAATTTTTATCCCAATTTTTCCTTATTTATTATTATATTATTTATTTAAATTTTACTTATTTTAAAATCAAATAACTATGTTTTTCTTCAAAAAAAAGCATCAATTGCTGTTCAAAATTGTACGCAGTGACCTGTGCGGTGCGAGCACGCTTAGATATGAATTGGAGCCTATTTCACAATTTGTCAAGTAACTGGGACACGCATTTGAAAAGTATAAGGAGCGCCGCTCTTTGGAGGTGACAAGCGGCTCCTGAGACGCCCTATTTATTTCCGCAACCTGCAAAACCTAATTAACCACGAAACGGCAGGGCAATTTTCTCTCTAGAGGTCTCTTGTGCAAAATTATTGGCACACGCAGCAGTTTTAAAACTGTACATATAAAAACTCATCATTGTTTTGCCTCCAAATTAAAAAAAGATTCTCTGTCAATTAAGATAATTGCATTTGGTGTTAGCAAGAAGCTTTTTATTTTCTCCTCAAAGGATTTTCATTTTTGGTAAACATTAAGTTTTCTTCAAGAAAAATTAGGAAATTAAGATTTTATATTTTCAAAATTGGTTATTTACTTCGCAGCAGTTTTTCCTAATGCTTTTGATTAAAAAAGTGTCTTCTTGTGTGTTTTGTCGTGAGAGACGCTGCCGTGTGTCTCACCACCGTGCATGAGTTCCGGTATGGTCGCCGCAAAACACACTGCGCTTTTTGCAAGCGACGGACGATTCAGCAGTTTTGCAGCGCGCAGGAAAGAGCGATACATAAAAATAAAATCGCCATGTTGCTCGGCGCGCACTTGCTGCATGCCCGGCTCCTCTTTCAAGCGTCAAATGGAATTGCGAGAAATCAGCATGAAAAGGAAGCGTCAACAACAAAAAATGTGTGCCTTTCAAAGGAAGTCTCTGTTTTGTTGCTGCAAAACGTGCAAACAACATTAATTTAAATTCGCAATAAATTTAACAGATATGAGTTCTTAATTTTATGTTATAGATTTGAAGTAAAAAAATAAGTATTTTTCAATCTCGCACTATTCCTGAAAACTTAAAAATCAATGAATTTCAGAAGTCAAAAGAAATTTTTTTACCCACTAGAGCTATTGTAATAGTTAAGTTTTTACTTGAAATTATATAAATTCCTACATTCCTAGGAAGTTTAATTTTGTACTTACAATGAATTAACAATTATTTATTAATTTAAGCAAATTTTACTTCTGCTTTTTCTGTATATCTTATTTCAAATTTCCTCAGCAATGTTTAACTAAAAAAATTAGATAAATTTGCAGCAGTTTTTTTGTGTTTGGCTCGATGTTGTGAGGATGCGCAGGCCTTGCGAAAGTGGCGTTTTTTTTTGTGTCGTTTGGCACAAAAATAAAGGCTCTGGACAAATGAAAGGAAATAGGCATATTGCAGCATCGCAGATGCCGCGGCATATTATTGTTTTGCGGCGGCTCACGCGTTAGTAGGACGCAGACACACACACAACCAAATCAGCCGCTAACAAGACCACTTTTACTTTTGGCCTAAAACTTGAACTCGCTTCTTGCATAACGGCGCTGCTACAGCTCGAGCGCTTGCATTGTTACCCAACTCGCTGCCCATATTGCACATCACTTATGCAAATCGAAATTCACACTCTCAACTTTTGTATTTCATGATCACTTTTTCAACCGTGATGTTCATCAGGAGTTCATTTCATGCAAAAATTTGGTACTGTTATGAGCTAAAAATATTTTCATTCTATTCTTTTAAGCTATAAAATAAAGAAAGAAAAATTACAAATAGAAATTTTTTTTATCATTTTAAGTTTTGCAAGAATGGAGAGGTTATTAGGCCACGTTATGAATTTTAAATGAATAAATTAAAATGGGAATGCAGATTTTATATTTATGACTTTTCATTTATCCTTCTTCATGTAACAATTTAGCAGAAATTTTTTTCATATAAAATTTGACAGATTTTTTTAATAATCTTGGAAATCATTCCAAAATTAAGAGGCCAAAAAAGACAGAATTGACTAAAAATAAAAAATAAACTTTAAGAGAATTAGAAATTTTCCTTATAATTTAAATAAAATAAAAAAACAAAAATTTGAATCACAAATAATGAAGATTAACAAATGTCCTTTATATTTTGTTAATATATTGCGGTTTTGTTTAAAGTACTATTTATAATTGTGAAACAGTTTTAAATCGTCTGGGTAACGTGACGTTTATGAAAATGATGCTAGGTCTTCAGTTTAATCATTGCGGGGTGACACATCGCGCGGCACCCGAGCCACAACAGATGAAACACATATCCGCGAATTGCACATCGCTTCGCCACTTCCGATTAGCTCGCAGCTTGATATATTCTGACGCACTTCTTGTCTTTTATTTTTTCGCCGGTGATTCCTCCTTGTCCAATTTTAAAAATAGGCCTGATGTGTCTTCAATTCCGAGCCGCGGCTTTTGACGTCATGCAGCCTGTTTTTCTCTCTCGCGCGCGCATGTATCAGAGAGAATATCCAGCAGCAGCTCGTTTTTTTGCTCTTTGCAATTACAATGAGCTTTTTGGCAAGCCTCTCCGAATCGGTTTTGCGCCAACGTGAGCGAATGATTTCCAGGCAGATGCTTCGTAATTGCGCGCAGGAGAACTTCAACATTTATGAAACTGAAGCAAATTTCCAAATCCACTTTTATGATTTATTATAATTAGAACAAAAAATAGAGAACATCTTAAATTAGGCTTGAAATTTAAATTGATTAGTCAAGGGTTTTTTTTTTGTTAAAAAATAAAAAACAAATTAA